TGGGGTTTTCTCTCTAGGTGTATTGTCTACCCAACAGCTCCAAAATTCTCAAGCAGATCTTATCCACGTCCTAATCAAGGCCAGCTTCTAAAATCTAACAAGGTCAGCTATGTGATTCCCACCTTTCTATATAAAAGAGAACAGAATAACAGAGTTGGAAGTGACCTTGGAGATCATCTAGTCCAATCTCCTGCTCAAGCAGAGAACCCTATATCCTTTCAGACAAATGTTTTGTCCAATCTCTTATTAAAAACTTTCAGTGATGGAGCACCCACAATTTCTGAAGGCAAGTCATTCCACGGATGAATTGTTCTCATTGACGGGAAATTTCTCCTTAGTTCTAAGTTGGATCTCACTCTAATGAGCTTCCACCCACTGCTTCTTGTCCTGTCTTCAGGTTCTTTGGATAATAGACTCTCAAGTACCCTCAAGTACTAGCAAAGAGCTATCATGTCACCCCTAGTTCTTCTCTCATATCTGGATCCCTCAACTGTTCATCCTATGATTTAGTCTCCAGCCCCCTAATCATCTTTGTTGCTCTTCTCTGCACTCTTTCCAGGATCGCAACATCTTTTTTGTATTGTGGTGATCAGAACTAGATGCAGTACTCCAATTGTGGTCTTACCAGTGCAGTATTACATTAGTACTATCACTTTATGTGATCTTGATGCTATCTCTCTGGAGATACAGCCAAGGACTCATCAAGGAAGGGACCTCTTCTAGGTCAGAATCAGAAGTGTCCCTTTCATGCAAGAAAGCTCCATTTGTAAACTTAGGGAGACACACTTCATCAAATGACTATGGTGGTCAGGCACATCTTTGCAAACCAATTACTTCTGGTAACATTAGTTTCCAGATAGACGGGTGTGTGTTGCTTCCTAATTAAATTTTGCTTCAAACAACTAAAGCTTCATATTCCTCTTTCTAATTTTAAACCCTTTATAAAAGCAACTGCCAAAAATTGATTTAAAACAAAACAAAATCGAGAGAGCAAGAGAAATAGGATCTGACAGGCTCTAAAATGATTAATTAATTTCAGGAAAAGGTTTCTCAGAATAGGATTCCAGGGAGAATATAGAAACATGCAACCATAAGGCTGGTAGGGACCTTGATGGATTTCCCAACTTCTGGAGGCAAACTGTTCTATTGATTGTTTTTGCTGTCAGTTCCAGATTGGATCTGTTTTTAACAACTTCCACCCATTACTTCTTGTCCTACCCTCAGGTGCTTTGAAGAATAAATCCATCCCCTCTTCTCTGTGATACCTCCTCAAGTACTGGAAGACAATTATCATGTACCCCTCCTCATCCTTCTCTTCACTAGATTAGACATACACATTTCCCACAACCATTCATCATTTTAGCCTCCAGACACATAACTATCATTGTTGCTCTTCTCTGCACACTTTCTAGTATCTCAGCATCTATTTTGTATTGTGGTGACCGGATCTGCATGTCATATTTTTGCATGTCAAAAATATCAGCTTCAGTCCCCAGAATCTCCAATGATTCAGGACATGGCCCAAAGAACTTCAAATAATGGGCATTTTCTTGATGGTCTTCATGCAACAGGCTTCTTCCAATTGCTGAATCAATCCATTGCATAGATTCATACATTCGGCTAAATCATAAACTAAATCTGTTAGGACTGGATAAAATGATAAACTACAAATATTAATCTAAGAGAGTCACAAGCAACCTTAGCATGTTTCTAATGCATTGTCAACCTCTCTGGAGAAATTATATCAAGCTGGTTGTGTGAACATAGCCATGAAAATGGCATGTTCTGTGCAACTGAAGATGACTAATGCTTGTAGAGATTATATGAAGCAGACCCCTTGCAGAAACTAAGCAGTTTCTGGTTTCTCTCCAGATATTGCTGAATTACAACTCCCAGCATCCTTATCCTAAGAAGACCAACTGAAGAAACTAGAAATGTTTAACTTTTGGAAGCCAAGTTCAAGGGAAGAATAAGGTGTCCTTTTTCAAATTCTTGGAAAGAAGTTGCCCAAAAGAAAATCAAGATTTCTCTTCTGTTGTCCAGAAAACAAGACACAGATTTGGTTTTGAGTTGCCAGAAGTATCGGGCCCCTTAACTGCAAAGTATATTCAAGAAAGCAACATTTCACACAACCTTTTAGCATCACTTTTAATGCCCATAATTGGGGATTGTCTCAGGAAGAAAGAATGGAAGATGGAAATATGGATAGGGAGCCATCTCCAAAACTGAAAAATCTTAACTGGTTTTGAACCGAAGGAACACAGTTACTTCTGCCATTTCTTTTTTTCTCTCTCTCTTATCTATTCATCACCTCCTCTTTCTTTTTCTGAATAAAGACTTTGCAGCAGGAGGACTGAACTGCAATGAAGAGGTTGGGCTTTTAGGCACTTTTGTCATTTTGCTTTGTTTCTCAGATGTGTGCACATTCCCTCCCCCCCTCCTCCTCCCCAAAAAACCTCCACTCTTTCCATTGGCAGAAATTCTGGCAGCCTCTGTGAATGTGGTTCATTAATAAAATATGGTGAACGCCTCCAAGTTGCCACAAGGAGATGAAAGGCAAAAGAAAAGGGACCTAGAAAAGGCTGTGCCATTAATGCAGGATGAAGAATGGGGAAGCTGTGGGGTTAGCGATTCAACCATTGTGAGCACAAAGAGAAGCGAGAACATAGAGCCAAAACATGGGAATCTAGCAACAGACCCCTTCAAAAGGGCTACTAAGAAGGTGGGACAAGAAATAAACTGTGTCTTCTCTCGGGTTTGAATTCATCAGCATTCCTAAAATGAGCAGTTATCTAGGTCAGTTGATGGATTGGGTTGACTGATAAATGTCAGCATCATTCCAGCCTAAATTCTCATATCATTAAAAAAACAACCAAGGCAGTTCTAGATTGCATCAAGTTCACGAGAAGTAATAATACCAGTTTATACTGCATTGGTGGGTTCTCATTTGGAATATTGCATTCAGTTCTGGTCATCACGAAACAAAAAAAGATGCCACGGTGAAAATGGCATTGAATTATCCCGGGGGTGGAGTTTTCTATGACAAGTTATCCCACAGCAAATTGGCCCTGGCAAGTTGGCCATGGTCAATTATTCTAGACCAGGGGTGTCAAGCTTGTGTCCTCACGACAGCATCACGGAACATATTGTGACTTTTTTCTCCTTTGCTAAACAGGGTGTCGGCATGGCCAGTGCATGATGTATCTGGCCTGCAGGCTGCAAGTTTGACAGCCCTGTTCTAGATCCATTGTGTTACCTCTAAACCTTCTCTGTGTTCACCTAAGCATATCTAATTTCCTTTAGCGGGTCATTGCACGATTTAGCTTCCAGGCCCTTTATCACCTTTGTCGCTCGCCTCTACACTCCTTTTATGGTCTCAGCATCTTGTTTTGTATCATGGTGACCAGAATTGGATGCAGTATTTCAAAGTGTCTAGGATAAGGGTCTTCAAACTTGACAGCTTTAAGACTTATGGACTTCAACTCCCAGAATTCCTGAACTAACCTGACTGGAGGAGGAGGAATTCTGGGAGTTGAAGTCCACAAGTCTTAAAGCTGTCGAGTTTGAAGACCCCTAGTCTAGAGAAACAGCCACATCTTCCCAACCTTATGAAAGGCCAATAGAGACAGAGTCATCTCAGTCTGTAGGTCAAGAGTCTTCAAACTTGGCAAATTTAAGACTTATGGACTTCAACTCTCAGA